ATTATAATTAATATAAATTATTTAATTTCCAGTTTTAAAATAAGCTAAGACTAATCCAAGTTCTATATTTTTATCTGGATATATTTCACGCGATTTTACTTAATAGAGATAGTTAAGGTTAACGGGCGTGTTATAAAGATACCTTTATCACTGGGTAGAAAATCTTAATCAATTTAGTATAGACGGGTGGCCTTACTGGCAAGATACCGACCTAGGTATCAATCCCCCTTCTGGGTTAGAGATTAATTAATTTTAATTTAATTTAACTAGGGGTTGATTAAGGAATTTTATACCTTAACTTAACTGATCCTAGTTAGGTTAAGTTATGGCTAGGTTACAACGGTTAGGTTATGCCACTCTAAACACCGGCTCGAAAAGTACTGAGGTCCATATCATCTCACCATAACGGTATGCTCGAGCTAGGGGCACTTTTCGTAGAATATGGCCGTGAACGGCTACAATAGTTCCAAATGAAGTTTATTCTTGTATCTAGTAATCTGATTTTGCTTTTGTGCTGCAGTACAATCATGAACTTTGAGCAATATTTTACGTTGAACTCAAAAGATCTACTACATTAAAAAAGTTTGTGCTTCTCTTGCGGTAATAATGTCCTGCGGTAATAATGTCCTGCGGTGTTAAAGTCACAAAGTTTACTTTCACTCCAATTAATGTAACAGCGTATAATATTAGACGTGAATTAGTTTGGTACGGTGCTTTATTGTACACACAGAAAGGACCATTTGACGAATTGTCACTTTGAGATCACAAGAAGTGGGATAAACGAATGTCTCTGAACGATTATACTGCTGTTTTAGTGTTCCATAAGGCCTTCCAATGGTCCGCGGGGTCATACAAAACCAAATTCCGATCATCTTGAAGGATAAGAACACATTCAGAAAGGTCAGATCCCGTCATGGCGGTTCCTGTTCTCCAAGACGGTATATTGTTTCTGTCATATTGAACGATATTGCGGTCCGCCTGCGCGACAATGCGAAAAGGTGGATAACCTCTCCCGTCGGTGTATGACTGCCAGACAACCGTATTTCCGGGCCCATACAAAACGACGTTCCCATCACCTTGACAGATGAATCGGTAATTACCGTTATCAGATTGGAGATAATCACCTTCAAACATCGTCTGACCATTTGTTTTGAGGCGGGAGCCAAGATTGCGGCCGAGCGGTGTGGGTCGGCCCTTGGCTTCTTCGGTTATGGGTGGCTCTTTGGGCGACAAAGGCTTGGTAATGCGTAGAGCCATATACGGTTGATAATTATCAGGCAGTTTTGTCCATCCCCCCAAGGCTTCCAGCCTACGATGATACGTGAGGATTCCAACTTTGACCCCTAAACCATTAAACTCTGCTTCACCGATACTTTTGCGTTGCAATAGATCTTTCAGGTAGTCTCTCGCCTGTTCGACGATATCATCAGAGACGTCACGTAGACTCCGTTGAAATTTTAACAATTGAGCTTGAAGCTGCTCGGAAAACCAGGCACCAGTAGCGCTGAAAGGAATAGACGCAATGCCAGTGATTAGATCCCATTCGTTAATAAGATCACCATAAATAACGGACCAGCCTTCGTCATATAAAATTTGACGTTTTTCATTGCGATCAGTTGTCTCCGTCATACGGAATATTAGTGTAAGCACAAGTACTAAAGCTTCTGGGGGATGTGATGGAATGATTGAGAACTTCTGGAGTTTTTTCTTCTCACCTGCGGAACATCCAAGGTTGTCAATATACCTAAGAGCAATGACACATCGACTAGTAAATCTGTATGACGTCAGAGAATCACGCTGGAGAGATTGGGATCTTCCCTATAGAAACAGGTGCTTCTTTCCTATCCGGTGTCTAGATTTCTGAAGATAATGGTATATCACCGGAAACGACACAAAGTCTAGGACAGCCGATAGAGCTACCAAGCTTTCGGGCAGGTCATCAGGCCATCGAGTCAACATTGAGTGGCGCACAGAATATGGATGCCAAGGGAAAATTTGAGAGTTAATCAACTTCTTAACGAATCAACATATATGGACAGTAGGAGGCTAAATAGGGTACCATGACCGGATTTGCACGGATCCACCATAAGTTCCAATGCAAATCGACGGTGAGTCTATATGCGCAGTGTGTGCTAGTGGTTGCTCATCGTAGTCGACACTGTCCTCCCATTCACTAATGAGAGGAATTCTAGTTGATCGAGCTGCAGGCCTGGCTCCGCCCCGGAGCCAGGAGAATACAGGGGGTCCAATAAGAGGCCTAGAGCAAAAAGCTGTATGAGCACGGTTGGAGATACAGGCAAATCACGTGGATTATCGATCTTTGCTCATCAACTTGGCACTAGATAACCTGGGGTACCAAGGCCACTGCAGTGCAACGGCCACGAGATGTACAAGAGGGAAGAAAGGGCTTCTGGACAAGTTGCCAGTTTGAAGACGGTCGCGCTTTGCGGGCTGCCATTGAACCTTCCGGTCTTCCCAGAATGCTGAATCTAGGCCTTTGTATCTAAGATACCGTAGTCATACAAACCTACGTATTATTACCGGTACAACAATAACTGGTTATTCACCAGCGATCCCTATCACCGCTTCGCACTTCTGCCTGTCATTCTGCCTTGCGGCGCTTGGTGCTGTAAGAGACATCTCATGTATGTAGTCAATTAGGCTCGACCAAGAAGACAATAAGGCTCCGTATATCCGTATACTGAATTTATTCTATTCCGTATTGAATCCTATTGGGTAGAAATGTAGCTCTAAACAGTCTGTTGCAGCATATTGTAGGCGAAAGAGACTTGTCGCTGGTGCGTTATTATACTCCGCGAGATTGTTCATTAGGCTTTCAAGCCTAGAAGGTGCCTCGCCAAGCAGTGCAGAGCCGAGTACTTTCTCTAGAGCGAGTGATATTTGCGCAATAGATTCCGCCTGAAGTTTGACAGGATCTGGCCTTGTTCCAAGTATCGTGTCAAGAATTTTCGAGCCTCCCTCATGAGCGCGCCTTTTGCAATCTCCCATCCAATTACACCCCATATACTCATGACGATCGTAGTAAGTTGTTCGGTTTTTGCAGCAGAGACCTGGGATTAAAAACCACACCGTCGTAGACGTAGAGAAGTACGTCCCTAACCCGTAACGACGGGGATGATGCCCTCTTTAATTTGTTTCAAGTAGGCACAAGAATAAATTGCCAGCTCCAGTCTTAGGGCCGGCGACGAGGTGACTAATGTTTTAAAGAAAACACTGGATCACTTGGTGAAAAGAATTTGAATTTCTGCCCAAAACGTGTCTCATATAGACCGCTCTTTAGGATCCAGACTTGCCGCAAACAGTACGGCTCGTTCTAGATCAGTCTTAGATGCACTATGGGAGGCTCGCCTGTCACAAGACATTAGGGCGATTGGCAAATCCTATTGACAAATTTATGTATGAGTGCAAGAAAATCTCACGCCACTTTTGGGACAATCCAGTTTTGGCTGAGCCATTCCATATGACATACTTGCTTTCCCGCATGCGGTCAGGTTACTACCACTTTGGCGCCTCCTTTGGAATGTTTCTCGAACTACATCCCACGGCATCGCTAAAATCTCGAAACATACTGTGTGGCTAGTTTGGTAGGTAGATAAGACCAAAACTCTGGTTAGAATAAATCACGTAGTTTTGTGGTGACAATGAAGTCACTGGTTAGTGAATCCATAATCCTAGTGTTGGTTTATGAATATAGCGCCCAAAGTGGTCCTTGTCGTTCGACTACGTCGATAAGATTGCCATGCTTGTAGGCGAGTCATCGGGTCAACGTAGGTGGTGCAACGAACTATGAAAACATGTGAGTTTGAAAATGAATCAAATTACTTAACAAATCAAGATACAAGGACGATAAAATGCCTACATAACGTTATCTTGGCATCGGGCCTAAAACACTAAATCCAGAAACAAGGCGGCAGTGGCTCTCATTACAGTGTAACCAGAGAGCCACGATGGAGTTAACATAGAACTCTACGAAGTATTGTTTGAAACGGGGTCTTATTTGTATCATTTTGCCAGGACACGGCTGTTAAGAGTCACCCTCCAATCAATCATGTATGGAACATAAGACGGATGCTCATCATCTATTGCTTCATTTCCGATTCTACATCGTCGATGAAGCGTAGTCTACCAGATTGGGATTGAAGTACTGGCGATAAGCGTTCACCAAGCTGATGGTTGGGCAACAGGCTATATCCAGATTAGGATGTTCACGATCGAAGTCAGCGGAAGTAGGTGCAGGTGCATAATGAGATTCCCCTCAAGTATGGCAATATAGTTGTTAAGAGGACTGCGCGTCTCCTCCTCGAGCTATAACATGCAACGGGCCTAATTTAGAATAGCCATGTGTTACCTTTCAGAAAATGGGTGATTATCGTGTACCAGGAAAAGTTGATGCTGACAAGCCGAAGAAATGATTAGCCTGTTCGCACCCTAAATTCTAGGACGTAGAAAGTTGCCGTATGTCATTCCAGACTATTTATTGTTAAGCTCGACCGCAAAGTGAAAATTGATTCCTTAACAAGCTGGGAATGCAGAAACATTACTGGGATACATAAAGTTACAGCACTATTAGGACGTTGAACCCGTATTTCATGTTTGCTGTGCGGGAAAAACCTTTTAAACTCCACATCCCAAGTGACACATCGATCAACAAGTTCACGACGACTCTGCTCTGGAGCGCTTCAGCCCACCATGGGTGATTTACGTCAATTGGGATTTAAGTGTCTTTGAGCTGGAGTCACCGTTGAGCTAATCTGAGCGCTTGAGCTGATCTTTTTGTGGTTGGTCCAACGCATCATAAAACAAAACATAGAATGAAGCGGGAGTCGGTATATCATCGAATTCGGCCTTAGCGTCTTCAACAGAGACGTCTGTCCACTTATATTCCTTCCATTCAACCATGTATGCTGCGACCGCACTGTTGTAGTGTCGGACACCATCGCTGTGTGTTTTCCAGTGGAGGTCGAACTGACTGACTTTGAAGCTGGTGTTGACCATCTGAAAAACTGTGCCATGGGATGCGACAGGGAAGGCTTTGTTGTTTGCTTGGATGAAAGCAAGATCTCTTTCGTTCTGACGCAATCCGATCAGGCAATCATTTGTGTAGTTTCCGATTTGTTCGATAATATAATCACCGCTGACACTCTGAAAGTCATGATGGTACTTGAAGCCTTGCCGCCTGTCCCGGACTGTGTATGGCGTTGTAAATCGATATTTTGAAATTCGATGTAGACGTATTAAGCGTATGCCTAGTATAATTCCCAGAAATTAAATTAGAAGATCGAAAGAACAAAATCTCTTCTGATCTTATATCCCTGAAATACCATGGTATGAATCGATCAGCAGTGAGTTCATTATGACAAAAATTACTTTTTCATTTTTGATCAACCTTTTGAGCTAGCCCTAGAGGTCAGGCCTTGCAATGTTCTCTTCATCCTCGTTATGTCATGGAGTATAGTTCGATGTTCACTCAAGGAAAAGGGAGACAATTAGGTGGCAACCTGACGCATGCGTTAAGCGAGCATGCCATACCATCACATGAGAAAAATGGAATGGCCTGGATGAAACTGGATTGTTGCATTATTGGCGGGACAAAATTTGGGCAAACCGATAACTGTAAAGCCTATTTGATGATCGGGTGGGGAAGGTCCCGAAGTTAATCTAGACTCCCGCGGCAGCAAATGACCCAGCTGAGGTCAAGATCGTGGGTCGTTACTCACAGGAATAAGTTATCATTTGGATAATCATCGTTCTGGTTCAACAACCTCAACTCATCCATCACTTTGGGCTCTATGTAGCTCGGTCAGCGACTAGGGGTTCAGGACGCTTTGGCTATCGGCCGTCCACGGGTCTGAGAACTCTAGGACATATGATCTGGCTTGTAATTAAAGTACTTACGCGATCCAGCCAATCTAGACTGTTAGCGCTAGTGAGGTGATTGCAGCAAACTAGTTGGCGGACTCAGATCGACTTTGCCATCATATACTCTGCTCCAGTTGCCAATTTTCTTAGCTTTCCCTGCATGTTCTACGATGTACATGGATAGTGATCACACACAATGCTGAAGCTTGCCACACAATTTCTCCCTCTCGTTCATTCCTGCGTGGAATGTATGTTGGAAACTTGCCTCAACAAACCAGTAGAGAGCTGCCAAGTGGAAGCATGCTGTCCAACTTCCCATCCAGAAGCTAGATAGCTCAGCGGCCAACTAGCTCGACATTGGGGAAGAGAAAAAATTAGGCAATGTTAAGGAAATGTCGCACTACATAATACCTTTGTGGCTTCTCCATGGTTAAGTACATTCTTACATAAAATTTCTCTACCTACACTATTTATTATTAATTTATAAAAATCTTTTAAAAAATAATCGATAATATTTATGATATTTATCGCGTCTTAAAATAAATGTATAGAGTCTTTTAAAATAAAAATTTAAAACTATTTATATATAAGATAGTTTATTATAAATATATCGTTTAAATTTTAAGATTACTATT